TGCTTACGGAGACAAAAATTTCGACACTCTTAAAATTTCGCCTTTACGAGTTGAACGCGAGAGCGATATTCTGCCATAGTGCGTATTTGAAACACTTAGTCATCTGAATATATTGGAACTTGCCAGGCACCCAATACCTTGTCTTAAGCGGAATGGGCCTAGTAAAGTGGGTGTCGCTTGTAGTGGGTGACCAACTTAAAACCATAAAGTCATCAAGATAATCGCATGTTCTGACGCCCAGTGGCGATGTACGCTTCTACAATGCATTTTAGGGGCAAAACTCCTTATAGCGCCACCCGTACGTCCCTCATAGCCGTTGTAGCATGTAACGAGTACAATATTTTCACCTTCAAGGTGGTGCCGGTAAGAGATTTCTTCTGGGCATTGTTGAACAATAAAAAATAGTGCTCAATGTACATGCCAATGGCTGCTAATGGGGATATGAGAGACAGGAGCATTCGGCTTTTAGTTAACGCGCACGCTGCAATCACCATTAGCAGCCATTGGCATGTACATTGAGCACTCTCTGACAAGAAAGGGTTGCTACGTTATACTCGCTAGGTGTAACCTCCTTAGTTTTAGAAAGTTTTAGCGAGCGTTGAGCCGCAGTGCCATGAATACAATCAACTAGTATATACCATAAGCTCGAGGTGGTTAAAGGTGGGAAGTAGATACGAAGCGCTAGCCGTAAGAAAGTAAAAGCCGAATCCTCCTGTCTCTCATTTCCCATTAGCAGTCATTGGCATGTACATTGAGCACTATCTGACAGGTAAAGGTTGCTACGTTATAGTCGCTGGGCGTAACCTCATTGGTTTTAAAAAAATTTAGCGAGCGTTGGGCCGCCGTGCCATGAATACAGTGAACTAGTATATACCATGAACTCGAGGTGGTTAAAGTTGGGAAGTAGACCCAAAGTGCAAGCCGTAAGAAAGTGTGCGTGTGCCACCTCTCGTTTAGTCATTGGAATTTCCGCTGGATGGCGGTGCTTCTATATGGGGAATATATGGTGAGAAGATGCGAGATGGTGGTACTTGGAGTGTTGAATAGATGGACGAACGGACACACGGACACACAGACAGATGCATGGATGGACGCATAAACAGACGCAGATGAGGATGCATGGACGAATGCAGGGACAGACACACGAACAGACGCACGCATGAACGGGCGGATGGACGCCCGGACTGTCACACAGATGGACGCATGGACGGGCGGAAGCAAGAACGAATGCACAGACGAATGCCTTGCCCCACTCTTCATCATTCACTCCGTTGATATGCTGCCAATTTTTTCACCTAATATTTCATAGTGTACTGTGAAGCACGTATAGAGAACGCGTGTGTCCGCAAAGCATGAAAGTTACTTTCTCAACATTTCCGAGCCAAGGATGTTAATAAATGCGAAGCATTTGTTTGCAAACTTCAGCGACTATCTATCTATCTATCTATCTATCTATCTATCTATCTATCTATCTATCTATCTATCTATCTATCTATCTATCTATCTATCTATCTATCTATCTATCTATCTATCTATCTATCTATATATCCAGCCGCATACAACTTTCCGCTCCTCTGGCCGCTTGGACAACAGGAAATATACCATAATTAGTATGGCATAACATGACTCTATGACGAGACCAGTCATATTATAAAAATTAACACATGCATGTCATAAAAGTCATGATTTATATGTTTTGGTCTTGCTGCTCCTGCGTAGACTAGTTCACATGACGTATTGTGTAACTGTTATGGTATGACATGACAGCATGGCGAACTTAACAGACAGGTCTTCACGGGGAACTCGTGACATGCGTGTCATGTAAGTCACGAGTACACGCCACGCTCATAGTGCGCTCGTGGTCGTTCTGCTAGCTTCACATAACTTATTTGGTGCTGCGTGACGTGAATGTATAACGAAGGTGTATCACTGCTGCAAACATGATAAGCACCACATGCGTGTAATGTCGGAACATGACTGCATGCCACACTCGTGATGCACTCGTGGTCGTTTCGCTAGTTTCACATTACGATATTTGGTCTCACGTGACGCGAACAGATTGTGAAGGTGTACGACTGGTCAAAACATCACGACCTTGACATCAAGGGTCACGCAAAACCATGACTACATACCATGCTCACGATGCGCTTGCGGCCGTTCCGCTAGCTTTACATGTACGAAATTTGTAATTACGTGAAATGAATCGATTAAAAGGGAATATAACAGGTGGAATTGTGATAATCATGGCATGCGTGGCTTGTAAAACCTGGTACATGCAACGCTCACAGCGCCCTCGCGGTCGTTTTGCTACCTTCTCATGTACCAACTTTTTTATTACGTCACGGGAATAGACAACTTGCACAATTGCGAGGCGGGTGCATGAGCATCATGACATGTAAGTCATGTACGGCATAATTCACGCCCCACTAGTATAGTTGCGCTGATTTTTGTGTGACAGGCCAATTTTCCACATTCAAGCTTCGCATATCATCAATTCTCACAATTCATAATGTACGGCATATTTCACGTTCGCCTCTTAGCGTTGTGTTGATTTTTATATGACATACCGATCTTCCACATTAGTGCTTCGTATATCATCGATTCCCACTGTACGCAGTATCTGCCAATTTTTTATTATTTAATCTATTTACATCGTTCTCGGTTGTTCGATCAAGCACAAGATGATGATCTATCGCTTGCAAACAACGACGTTGACACTGAGGCTGGAATTTTAGCGAAACAAGCTCTTTGACACTGTCCCGTTAAAAACAGTGGACCACAACCTGCTTATTTCAAAATACTGTTCTCGTGACACAAGGTCGTCAAGATTGAAAGACCCAGTCAAAAATATTATTAGAACAAAGGAACTGAGTGTTAAAGTTGTTGTGATCGCAAGTCCCAGGCTCCCTAATAAAGGTAGCCTCAATGAGGTACATTTCCAAGAGCAATCGTGTGAACAAGACATAGGAACATATCCCTGTTAATTATTCGGGGGTTGTACCTAGCTTACAGAGCGCTAAAGAAAGCAGTGAAATAAAATCTTGAATTATTGATACTTAAAAAACCTTGTTTTGCGCATTCCAAATCTATGTGCCTATTGACGTTTTGTTTTTATCATCATTATCATCATCATCGTCAGTAGCAGCAGCAGTAGCTTGACTCCACCTCCTGCAGGGCAAGGGTTTCTTCCATGATTAGTCATTCACACGGGTCTTGTGGTTTCTGCTGCTACGTTATACCTGTGATCTTTCTATATCTTTGGCCGAACTAACTTCCTGTGCCTCCGTAGTGCGTTTGCCTTCCTAGGAACTCCAGTCAGTTACCCTTAACGAATAACGGTTATTCTGCCTAAGCGCTACGTGCGCGGCCCATGTATATTTCTTCATATAGATTCAAACAAAGATATCTTTGATCTCGGTCTCTTCTCTGACCCACACTGCTCCCTTCTTGTCTCTCTTTGCAGTTCGCCTTTGTAAGCCTGCACGTTTCTGCCCCATACGTAAGTACCCGCGAGATGCAGCTGGTATATACTTCCCCCAGAGTGTTAGTGACATATTACAATTTATAAATTGAGAATAGTTGCCGAATATGACCCACACCATTCATATTTTTTTGAATATTTCACTAATATGGGTTGCCTCCACACTTACTACCAGTTCTAATTCGACATATACTTTTACAACTTTCTGCGCATTTCGACCTATCCCAAAGTGCTCTTTTCTGCCAAAACAGTTGCAGGTTACTCTGGTTTTGTGCACATTAGTTTTAGGACACCTTTTCTGCTTTCCTAGTACTATTCAGTAATCATGACTTATAATTATTCGGCTGAGTTATTCATCAATGTAATGTCATCGGTGAACAACAGGTTACTGACATACTCTTCCCTAACCCAGAGCCCTGAAGACCTCCTTTAAACACGTGGTGAATGGCATTGCAGAGATCCTATCTCCTTGCCTTACGCCCTTCTTTCTTGGGATTATGTCAATTTCTTCAAGGAGAACTATGGTGGCTTTAGATTCACTGTATACTTCTTACACATGTTTATTTAGGGTTCTTCGATGCCCTGATTTCGTTGTGCTTGCATTACTGCTGTTGTCTCGAGTGAGTCCACTGGCTTCGCGTAATGTATGAAGGCTATAAATAAAGGTGCGTAGTTTTCTGCGTATTTCTCAATCACCTGATGAATAGCATGAATATTGTCAATTGTGGTGTAGCGTGTACAAAATTTCGCTTGGCTATTAGGTTGATTTCACTCTAATGCCACACTAATTCTAATAACTATTTTCCCCTCTTTGAGCGTGTCGCTTCTTAGGATACTCGGTGCAAATACTGAGTATACATGCAAAGTACTAGCATCATACACACACATCCGATAATAGCAAACACATCGTAAGTCGAACACAGTGCAGCTTACACAAAGCACTGTTCATTGGTTGCATTTCTCACAGTGTGAATACTAGAAAAAAAAGGAGATGTTGTTGGGACGTACAATGACTTAGAAAAAACGTGTGGTAGATTTTTGCACTAACCGCTCAGGCACATTTTGTAAAAAAATTATGTGATGGCCCCTAAAAACCGTGTTCACGAGCACCTTATCAGCCGAAACAGTTTGCGTATGACAAATTATGCAATAGCCCTCACCCATATTTAAATTGAAGAACCTTTTAATGCTGAAAAACAACAGGGATGTAAAGTTGGAAGTCGTTATTTTTGAATGACATGCTTTTTTTTCTTCCAGCAGTCTCGCCCAGTCAGACAGATTCGCCAGACTGATGAGTTTGAGAAAACACTGCTCGGTTATTGCTGGTGGGCATTTCTGCCAGATTTTTATATATCGACGTTCCACAGTTACGCATCAAAATCCGATCATAACAACCGGTGTGGTAAAAAAAAGTGATTCGTGGTGACAGGAATCACAATCAATATGAATAAATTTGGAGAGACAAGAACGAAACCCAATGAAAAAATTTATTGGCCAGTATGAATAACAGTGTGTAGAAGACCCTTAAGAGCGAACTATCCAGAACGCAGTGGCCGACGAGCCTGTTGATAGTAGCAATATCGATTTCGTTGCATTCGTTACACTTTGTTCTACCCATAATTTTCTAGAATGATTCCTCAATTTTGGTAATTCATAGATTCCCATGTAATGAAGGTTGAAAAGAACGAGGGTAGACACCAAGAACATTCTCCGACGCAGCGTACTTCAAGCATGTTCCACCCTCTGAGCTGCAAATAAGCAATAGATATAACACATATTACACTACTTAATATATGCCACATCATTCTATAGCAACACTTGTTGAAAATAATTGAAAAAAAAATGCATGGCCCGTCTTGCGTGGGGTAAACAGTATAGTAACAGGAAAAGCTAAGTGAGCGGCTTTTCTAGAGTGTGGTGTAGACCCTCTTGGTGAGAGCATTACAAGTACACCTGCAAAGCATCGATGATTCGTTATTATGTGTAAACTTGTGGCCACCATTGCACATCTGAAGAAATCACGTGCGCACACGGTGGCCTAGTGGCTAAGGTACTCGGCTGCTGACCCGCAGATCATGGAATCGAATCCCGGCTGTGGCGGCTGCATTTACGATGGAGGCGGAAAAGTTGTAGGCCCGTGTGCTCAGATTTGGGTGCACGCTAAAGAACCCCAGGTAGTCGAAATTTCAGGAGCCCTCCACTACGACAGCTCTCATAATCATACGATGGTTTTGGGGCGTTAAACCCCACATATCAACGTCCGTTCATCCGTACGTGCGTTTGTCTGTCCGTCTGCTTGTCTATCTGTCCATCCGTGCATCTGTTCATGCGTACGTCCATCCATCTAGTGAACACTTTTAGTACCGCAATGTCGCTTCTTTTTATGATCTACTCATTATATACAATACCGCCATGCAGCGGACAATTCAAGGACTGAACGAGAGTATGTCCCACATTTCTGCTGTTAGTGCTTTCTCAACATAGACAGCGTGACAACGACACCATGCTACGTTTTTTTGTAACATGTGTACATGCTGATATGTGCCTGTGGGTGGGTATGTGCCTCATGTTACACACTATGGAGATACAGAAGCAAAGCCATAAGGAGGTTTCGCCCCTAAAAAGTCGCAGATCTTCTCTTTGAATGTGTCTCACCTGGTAATGTCGGCTTCGTGCGTCTCAAACCACTCCCGCGCTGAACCATGAGGGTTAAAATTCTCGTTGGCGGTTATGAGTGTCGGATAACATCTACCACTGGCGCTGATCAATTCATACGCGTTAAAGAGACACTGAAAAGGTTTGAATTCACGAATTTATTGCGAATTCGGTATCCGCCCCCTCTTACAATATCTCTGCGGAGGTTTTTTTTGCGATGTTCAATTAAACAACGGCTCTATAAGCGTGCAAACATAGGCCAAAAAACACCCACCCCTCCTTCTCCGGCACGCGCGCGCGCAGTGGTAGAGCATGGGAGAGGTATACAAGGGATGGGGGGTGGGGTGACGGCAACGTAAGGGTTGAGCTTTTGCCCAGAGGACAACTTTGCGCCGGACCGCCTGAATCGCTTAGTTAGCTTAGATTATTTACTTCACCGTTGTACCTTGTTTCTGCTGCGATCTCCTGCCTGGCAAAGCATCAGTTCTGCCAGTTTGATAGGGATTTTTCGCCATTGCACCGTTCTCTTTTAATTAAAGTTTTTCGCCATCCGACATTCACTACTTGTGTTTGTGCAAGGTTGAGGTAGACTCGCGATGCCGAGTAACTGCACGGCATATGGCTGCTGCAGCACTTACGGTCGCGATGAGGTCACTTTTAACAACTTTCCTCGAGGCCAGAAGATGGCTGTAGAATGGGCCACTGCAGGTAAAAGAAAATATTTCAAACATACTAAATGAAGCGCGCTGTGGCGGTCGCGAGTCTGTCGAATTTCTAAGCAGCAGCACTCCTGTTCTTTCCCTATTTGTGTGCAATGCGTGCATAACAGATGTACGAATATATCAGTACGCATGATCGAAATCAGCTATTCTGCACAACAGTCGCATGTTTCTAGCGCTATTGCTTTAGCGCAGCTCAGTTTGCGCGCAAAGAAAATATCTTAAGTAGTAAAGAAGGGGATCGAAAAGAAGCAGACGACATTGTGAGCGCTAACTTCCAACTCTTGTTTATTGCATACCCCTGCAACACACTATATAGCTCGTTCTACATGACGCCACGTACATGACACAACCATACAAGTGTGGCACAGCACATGCTACTTAGAAAACCTAGTTGTGATCTGATATCAACTTCACAGTCCTATATCAATGCTTCACAGTAAACAATCCAGAAAATTGAGCTACTACGGCTTACTCACACGTAGCTTCGAACATTTTGCAACAGCTTTCACCTAAATAATTTTCTGTATCAACTGGTTACGACTGCGGCCCAAGATGACACACTGGGCAAAGAATGGAGTGCTCCACACCTCTTGCTGTGCATAGCAAGGCAATCACCGGAAGAAGTCTTGTTTTTTAACATTGCAAGAGTGCTCGCGCACGCGATCCTTAACACACCTACCAGTCTGTAATATGTAAACCACACCACACGACGGCAGGAACATGTAGACAACAACTATGACGCATTCAACAAACTTAGTTACATGCTTCTTTCCACAGGTGGATTGCACGTCCTTCTTGGGGTTCTTAACCTTCCATAGACGGCTTAATTTGTCTGGAGTAGGGAACACTACGCGCACATTTTCCCTCAAGACTATCTTTTTCAAATGGTGTAAAATTTTATGTACGTATGGTATGACGCTAGTTTTCCCAGCATCGCGGCAACCATTGGCCTGTGGCTGTCCATGCATACGTGGACAATGCAACAGACACCCAGTTACCGACAGTTGCACCAACACTGAGTAGCCTTCCAAGAATAATCACTTGCTTTGTCTTGCAAAACTAGCGGCCATAGTGCGAAGAAATGATTTCCACAGGACAATAACCTGGCCACTCCTCGTTTTCTCCACTTTATCAATACGGTTTTGTGTCGTGTGGCGCAATGTGGAATGAACAATATAGTTTGTTGCAAGCGTATTCAATAAACAAGAGTTGAAAGTTAGCGCTAACACTGTCATGTGTTTCTTTTCTTCTTCTTTATTACAGAGCATCTTTTCTTCACGCCCAAACTGAGCTGCGCTATAGCAATATCATTTTATCATGAACTAACTCGCCCAGTCCGCAGTACTTCTAGCGCAGCTTATACACCGTTTGCATTTTAACAAATCATCACTGTAGCATACGCGAGAGTTGAGAAAGAGCGACGGTATTGTAAAAAAACAAAACTGCAATATATGAGCCAAGCTTCGCTTGCGCAAATCGCAGCATAGTTCAGAGCACACATCCCCACAGCGGCAAGAGCGGCACTCGTCTGGCTTTTTTTTTCTTGTGGTGGCATACCGACCGTGCTAATACGCGGATAAAGGCGAGTGTCGATGCAGATGTTTAAGTATGAAATTCGGTGTGCACAGATAAGCGTATCATTCGTAACAGTTTACTACAGTAAAATCAAGCACTGGCATGCATCTTAAGTGCGAGACAGAAGTGCGATTTTCTGTGCGTGTCGGCGTGCGGCATCGCATGGTGCGGGGTGCCGCATGCGACGTTTCGGGACACACGAGGGCAAAGAAGCAAACAACGGGAGGCTCCACCCCCATGCGGTGCCTCAGCATGCAGGGTCGAACGACTTGGTATCCTCGTAATGAGGTTCAAAAAAAAAAACACATCGCACAGCCCTGCTTCATTCAATAAAAGTAATAAATCGCATTTGTGAACGACAAGCACGTCGTAACCGTGGCATCAGCTGATCATTCACGACTTCAACAGGTAGGCCTAGCATCGCGGGCACCGGCCGTCGCCTACGCCGTTCACACGTGAGCTCGTCATCGAGCGCTTGTTTTGGACAACACTATCAAGCATTGCGCTGGTATTTATTGCGTTAGCATACATTATTACTTTATTGATGTCATCGATGTGAAGAGCAAAGGTGTAAGCGAAGCGAGCCAGCGCAGAGACGCCGGTATCTGTGTTTACCTGCTAAATGACCTTGCATCGCTGCTCACGATCTCCGATCACGCTAGCAGTTTCAAAACGGGCATTGTCGTGCCGAAAAGGCACACTTCAAGCATCACTTTATTCAATCCGGAGTAATATCACGTCCCCAGGCGAATGTACTCGTTGTTTGTCACGCCGCCGCAGTCGGCGATGTCAGCAAATCCACGTTCGCACCACCCCATCGACTCGTCTGGAGCCTTGGACCACGGTTGATGGGAGCGGCGACAGGGAGATGGCGCCACTAGCATCGCGACGCCACTCGTATGCTCGCGCTATGATTGGCTGCTGACATGCGGCGGTGCGATACTGCGACGAAAATATCTGGCCGGTTTGATGCTCGCCGCACCGGCGGTGCGACGCGAGGATACGTCACAAAACATCACGAAACGTCATCACTCCGGCAGTCGCAACGTCGCACCGCACGCCGAATCACAGAGAAAATCGCACGTTTCTCTTGCGCTTTATACGTACCAGTCTACATTTGCGACGCGGGTGCATGTGGCAGGTTAAGACTTGCTTTTCTGTGCAGATTTAGTCGACACCCTTAAAGTGATTACCGGTTCGAAAATGTACGCATAAGCGTGTCAGCCGGGAAGAGGCGCAAGGGGGGCGCTTGCACACTCACTGAGAAAAGTTTGAGGAGGGGGGGGGGGCTAAGCCCCCCGTTGCCCACTTTCGATAGTGCTCATTGTGGCTGTACGCTGGGTAAACGAACAACTAAGACGAAGTTTTCATTCACCACAATAATTACTCATTTATATTGTAACAATAAATTGAAATTATTTAGAGGGAACTCTACATTATAGTGAATATTTCCCAACATTTCTTGTGTGACTATTTTTTAAAGGCTCTTTGTGGTGCGTTTCGCCTATGCTACGCTTTCCCGTCTTGTGCTCTGGCATTACAGAGCATACTAGCGCTGAGCTGGGGCCCTTTAACATTACATCACTTCTTCATGGTTTTATTCTGCCCTGACTGGCCGATGCAGTTATGAATGGGAAGAAACATACTTTTTATGCACAAGGTAAATCTATTGCTGCTTCAGGAAAATCTTTATTCATCGAAAAACAGTATCATCACTGCTGCGCTGTCGGCTGCGGTATAACGATGATTTTGTGACGAACATTTTTGAATGTTTCGGTTTTGCCGTGTTCTCCGCT